AAAAAAAAAAAAAAAAAAAAAAAAAAAAAGAAGAAGAAATAGAATGAAGTAGTAGCAGTATTTTGCTGATAAAAAAAGTACACAGTTTAGTGGAACTGATACCGAGACAAACATTGGACCAATTTAATCACAGGTCGGTATGCACAGTGTCAAAAAAGTGAAAGAGGAGAGAAAGTGGTGAAGTAAAACGTTTGAAAAAACCAAAACAGAAGAAGAATAGAGCAAAAAAAAAGATTAGTGACGCAAAAGTTAGGTAATAATGAGTAATAAATAAGTTTTATTGAAACTATTCAAATACAACTTGAATGTTCAAATCAGCATTAATGTCTTTGTTTCAAAAAATAAGCGGCTATCGGACGGGTTTGATGTCATCTCACGGGGTAAAAATCTTTATGCAATTGATAAAGCTGCTAATAACGATGGTGATGATGACAACGGTGATAAAAACAAAGACAATTTATTATCTGCTGCATAAAAATGTCAAAATTTCTCTTTTCTTTTCTCAATTGTAAACAGTATATAAAAACTAAAAAACTTGGAAAGTTTGAAACAAGAAAAAAAGACAGTGTTGCTTAGCAGCGTAAATTGATATGTGCGATTGGTATAAGTGAAAGCAACAGAATTTGCTTGATTATGTGGATATAAAAATTTGATAGCCTTATTGAAATTTTGCATTAATATTTTTCAGTAAAATGTATGACTGCGGAATAAATAAAAATTTTACACGTGACTACACTAAAGCAAACATTCTTTTGATTAATAGTGCTTTTAAGAAATATTTTTGAAAACACCTCCTGAGAAGAACCCAAAGGAAAGAAAGAGGTGAGTGAAAAACCACAGCTGTCCTATTTTCCTTTTTCAGTTAAGGTTGTATAAATAAAACGTTGTAAAAGAAAAAATACAAGTTTAGAAATAATAATCATTTGATAATTACATGTTCATGTATTTTCGTGATTAAAAACCTAATAGTTTTTTATTATTTAATAGACTGTTCGCACACTACACATTTAATATGCTTTACACATAATGATATTAGCAAAAAATTTATGGTCTATTTGAACTAAGCTATGAGTTAAGAGGTTTATTTCTCTCAACAATTACTGCGAACAAAGATTAAACACAAAATTTTACACATCTTGAAAGAAAAATTTGTTTATTCTATAAAATTTTAGTTACATGACTAAAATTTGGTGAAAATGATACAATAATGTAATCAAATTTTTCTCAAAACGCATAGTTGAGAGATAGATGGACTCCTGTAACAGATATACAAATTTTGTTGTCTTCGCTCAACAGCTGACAACTGTTTGCTTTACATCAGTTCATTACAGTAACAAAGAAGCAATTGGTGACTTTGTAACGCTGTTAGCTATAAAAAAACTTTTTTAGACATCTGACCATCACTAAAGACTGTACTGACTTTTCAGGTTTGCAAAGAATAATGGAACAAAAATAAACTTATCATCTTTGACAAATTTCACTAAATAAGCAGAAAAGAACTGAGCATTCAATCATACATATTGGTGCACTTACCACTGAACCTTTTTCAATGCAGGAATGAAACCAAAAATTTGCAGCTCTATTCATTAGTTCTCCTTTCCCTGCTCAAAGTCTTAAGATATATACTAGTTTTTCCCTTTTAAAATTTCATTACTCGATTTTTTGCTATATTTTTTTTCTAGAAACTTATTTTGGTTTAGTTCTCACTCAGCACTATCTTTTAATATTTCTATTGCTCAGATCACTTATTAAGCTTGCTTCCAACTACTTTTTTTTAATTGTCAGTTTACTTGCCTCTTCGCAAACTTTTTGAACAATATTTTTTATTTGGCTTTTATTATAAAACATTTACAGTTTTAGAGTTGTAATGTAGTCAAAAAAACAGCGCGTATAATTTCACCAAAAAAAACCGTCACCAAAGTTTAGCTTGTATAACTCAAAAAGAGCTTTACAATTTTGATTTGTGAACTGGAGACTTCTCGTGACATACGCCGCATTTATCAGTGTCTTTTTGGAATAGCTTTTTAATGAGTAAATTTTCATACTGAACTATTTTTCCCTGATGCGAACGAAGACGCCGAAGCTATTCCTAAATCTTAGCAGAGTTTTAAAGTCTTGCGAGTCTAGTTAATTTTGATAACTTAATGCACTAAACAAGTACGTTCTCTTAGAAGCTTTTTTTGTTGATTATATAATGTTGAAAGTATTAAAAACAGCGTTTTGATGTTGCCGGTCTGAGTTATTGTATGATTTTGGCAAAATTTGGCTGTCAGATTTGGGCGTCAGCTCTAGCTCTAGTGATACAAGTTGCCTTTTTGTGGCAACATTTTGACAACCAATTGAGGAATATATCAGATACGTGAAGTGAATGATGCAATTTGCAAAAAAAATTTTCTACTTGAACTATCCAAAAA